CATGAGTTTAGAAATATCTTCCGGCCCCCCCCCCTGGCATTAATAATGACTGCTCCCTTAGTTTAGGTTTCTTCCTGTAGGCTAGTAACATTAGATCAATATAACAACAAGGAGTTCACGACTCCTACTGAACCTAAAGGGAAAAAAATTTAAAAGCGATAGAGCTATCCCACATGAGCAAAGTTCGTCTAGTTTAGTTTTACCTCCAAAATCTCAAACGTCGTACGCATAATAATAAGAAAGGGGTTTTCGTCGTTTGTGTCGGTGACAACCACCGCGACTGTTGCATTACTGGATAAACTCGGATTCCCATGATCCTTAGCGGTCACAATCAATGTATGAGCAGTTGTAGTTTCCCGATCGAGTCTCTTTGCCACAGTCACAATGCCTGATGTCTCATTAATGGCGAAAATCCCTGAAAAATAAAACATGAAAAAGGAGTTTATGCACGCCTGTCAAAACTCGCTCCCAGTGTTTCGTAATTTTTAATCAAATTACTGCTACTTAACCAAGATTCACAAGCTCCTAACGCGAGGATAATTTATCAGAATGACAAGGGTGGGTAGTAGCGAAGTAGTTGTAGTTCGCTACTGTAGCGAACTACAATTTTCAAGTAGCCAGTAGTTTTTGACTACATTTTTAAAACAGTAGTTGTAGTTATAGCGAACTACATTTTGCCTAAAAGTAGCCAAGTAGTTGACTACTTTTCAAACAGCGAATCGCTATTCGTTACTTTTTAAAATTGTTATCAACCTTTCGTAGAATATAATGATATTAAGACACGGTTCGCTTAAAAGATTATTTTATACAGCAAAGATTATTTTAGCGCATTTGAAAAGTGGCACTCCTGAACACTGTATAGTGCTTACAAAAATGTTGCTTTGACCCTTTTGTTTACTGTTGCTACTCGTAAGTCGATTTGTTATAGGTTAAATTACAGCCTGAGCCCAAATACCGTAAAACTAAAAAATATAGAGTAGCGAAATAGCGAAATAGTTCGCTACATTTTTTAAGCAGTAGCTGTAGTCAGTAGCGAACTACTTTTGTTCAAAAGTAGCAGTAGTTGTAGCTGACTACATATTTTTGAAGTAGCTGTAGTTATAGCGAACTACAAAAATTTTGTAGTCAACCCACCCTTGAGAATGATGCCAAATTTTTCACAGGGATTTTAGAGTATCAATGATTTTCTCTATTCTACATTTTCGTAAGCCACGCAACAGTAATAGTCAGGAATGCGAGTTATCTAAATACTTCATTACCTCAGTTATCTGATTTTGCCTACCCTCTATAAGGCTGTATGTTACTGCAAAATATTTTGGTCAAAATAAGTAATACCTTCATCATTGCCAGCTACAATAAAATACGATATTTCTTTATTTATTCCAATATCTTTATCGTCAGCGATGACTGTGAGGATCTCTTCGTTCAGTTCGAAACTTTCAGGAATTTTCTTGCTGTAGCGGCTTTCTCGGAATACAGGCGCGTAGTCATTGTAGTCTTCGACTTGAATGCTTAACTAGAGGAAATATTTTGTTTATATCACTTGCTGTTTGGTAGTGGCGCAAGCATTCCTGTGCCTTGTGCAAGACTATGCTATAATCGCTTAACTGTCTGTCGTGTTGAAATAGCTGATAGAGTTATTTAGTAGTTAAGTTAACAGTGACCGCGGAGCCTGTTTAAAAGTG